CCTGAAGGATTAAGTCTAAAGTTCACAGCTGGACTAAAAGGATCCAAAGATGCTATGTCTTTTTCCAGCACGATTTCACTCGAAGTGATGTTCGAACAATAGAACCACACAGTGGACATAAGACATGAGAAGAAAAAGGCAATTAGAGCCATACTACAGTTAGTCAAGGATTAGTATATCTTTAAAATATGAGACATACTTGCTTCTAAGGTTTTTTTTTTTTTTTCTTGTTTCTTCACGAAATAATGGCTTGTAAAAGGAGCATCTTCTTGGCCTTAAGTGGGGGCATGGTTCTTGTGAAGATGGGAATGTTTATGTGTCATTACTCTATCTCAAAACATACCTGATGGCTGGGGCCAGACTGCTGAGAAAAGAGAAATGGAACATTGCCATAGAAGCTAAACCCAATCTTGCTGATGGAAGTATTCTTCCTTCGTTGATTTGCTTTGGAACTAAGAGGGAAAGCCACAATCATGAAAAGGCAGGTATTTAAAAATGCAGTTTTAATTTATTTTTAATTAATTAGTTAATTTAAAATGCCAATTTTTATTTTTTAAATTTTTTTATTTTTTAACGTTTATTCATTTTTGAGAGACAGAGAGAGAGAGCATGAGCAGGGAAGGGGCAGAAAGAGGGAGACACAGAATCTGAAGCAGGCTCCAGGCTCCGCGCTGTCAGCACAGAGCCGGACGCGGGGCCCGAACTCATGAACTGCGAGATCATGACCTGAGCTGAAGTCGGACACTCAACCGACTGAGCCACCCAGGCGCCCCTAAAATGCCAAATAGCGCTCATAAAAATCTTTGAATATCTTTCCCATTTTACGGATGCGGGTGTTGAGGCTCAGAAAGAGGAATACATTTTCTGAGGTTGTATGGCTAATGGTTGCCTGAGGAGTAGTGGGGAATAAAGGGGTCTGCTACCCATCCCCACGCCCACCCTTCAAACCAGGCGTTGAGGTTGGGGAACACTATTGTCAGGTCAGACAATTTTAGGAAGGCTTTTCGAGTACCATATCCAAAGGAGGGAATAGCATGTGTGGCAAGGCCTGGAGTGAGGGATGGAAATCCAGGCAGCTTGGCTGTAGGGCAGTGGGCATGGGGAGTGTAGGGGAAGCAAGATTAGGCTGGGGAGGGTTGCAGGCAGCCATGCAGGGTAACGTAGTACTTTGAATTTTGCCCTGGGAGTAGTGGGAGACATTTGGAGGATTAAAGCAGAGGAATACTGAGATTTGTAGATCTGTGAGTTTAAAAGGTTATGCTGAGAGACTACCATTTACGACAGATTGTGCTCTTGAGAGACCAACTAAAACCTACAGACAAAATACACAAGCTGTGTGTTTGAAGGCAGCAGAGAGCTGCTGAGGAGAGGACGCTGAGAGGGGCTAAGACTCTGAAAAAGTGAGCTGACTTGTCTAGCTCCTTTTAGACTGGGTTCGTTTGCAGGTTGCAGGCACAGGCAAGAGGCCGAATGTCCGGGATTTGCTGGCACTGGGGAAGAGAGAAACCAGCAGAGCTTCTGGGAAAGCCTGGGGAAGCCTCCAGCGTGCAGCTGGTCCTTCCCCTGGTTGAATTCTGAGGCCACAAGGAGCGAGAGGCCAGAATCCGAAGTGGAAGTCCTCTGAGAAAAATATGGCAGAGTTTTAATTTTCACATCGGCCTGCATAGCTTCAAGAGACAGAGATTGAAGTTCAAGGTCATTATGGGGAGGGAGTCCAGTAAGCACATAGACTTTCAGGTCAAGATCGTGGAAGGCTGTGCCTTCCGTAAGGGTAAACTTATTAAATAGACTGAACTTTGCCTTGGCTGCTACACAGCCTTGGCTGGATAGTCCTGAGGTGATCAGTTATTCTGTCTGCGTGACGGACAGAGGGGGTAATGGTCTCTGCAGGAAAATGATGTCACCGGAGTCTCTAAAAGTTTTTATAAATAATAGTCATTAAATCAACAATTGCTGGACATGCTAAAACTCAGAGCCACAAGACTGAAAACCAAGAGAAAAACAGTTAAAGGAAACAAACCCATGGGTACTACAGCTATAGGAGTTAGTTACTAAGACTTTTAAATAACTGGCTGTATATAAGAACATGGAGAAAATAACTGAAAATAGGGTATATCAGAGGTGTGAATCTGTAAAATCAAATCAAAGGGGGTAATTCTAGAACTGAATAAATGGTATCAGTAACAGTAATCTGGTTGTGACAGTAAGTGGAATTAGTGAACTGGAGGACAGGTCAAATAGAAAATCTCCATGCTGTGCACACAGGGAGAAAATAATAGAAAAAACAGAAAAGAGCATTATAGATATGTGGGACTCAGCCAATAGAGCTAACGTATAACTGGCCTTCCAGAAGGAAATGGTAGTGAGTGGAGAAGGAACGATATTTAAAGAAATAATAGCTGGACATTTTCTAAAACTGATGGATGGTATTAATCTACAGTTTCGCGAAGCTCTGTGATATCAAGAAGTATAAATAAGATATCACAGTGTTGTATTACAAATATATCATAATTAGACTGCTAAAAACCAAAGGTAAAAAGAAAATAATACACATTAACTTCAAAGGAGCAATAATAAGTTTGATACCTGACTTCTCAACAGAAATAATGGAAGCCAAAAGACAATGAAATGATGTCTTCCAAGTACCAATAAGATCACTATGGCTTCCAGTAAGGAGAATGGATTTTGGGAGTTAGAGATGGTTAGAGAGGATATGGGAAGAACAATTCACAGGCTTTTATGATCTTACAATGTCCTGTGAAGAGGTGACTATAGTCTGGATTAGGGTAATGATGATCGAGACGGAGATAAGTAGACTGACTCAACAAATATTTAGGTCAAAAGCCTCAAAAGAAATAGCACAAAGTCATCAATTTACCCACCACTAATTTCCCAAAGACTCCATCTCATTTCCATGGTTGCTTTCTTCTTTCCCAAGCCACCTCATAGACCATCTGGTTGGCTGAGATGGAAACATCTTTCCCACGAGATAGTCTTTTTAATAACCCTATCCCCTCTCAGTCTTGTCTTCACACGTGATGCTCAGACAGTGACTGAGCATACCTCTGGTTCTCTGTGAAGAATTCCAGGTGGCATCGTGGCAGGAATTTTGGCAAAGGACTTCACCTCCCCTTGTATCCAAGTACGTGATGGTCAGGATGTGGAGTTATAGACAAGTGGACATAAGAAGAGGCTGGGTGGGGCAGATGTGCTCTCTTTTGGAGTCCGTCTATTCAGATGAATCTGGGCATAGGGAGGTGGACGTCCAGTCTGATTTAACTGAATCCAGACACCACCTCTGTGTGTGTTTGTGTCATCTCGGGACTCAGTTTCTTTCACCTGGAAAATTGGATTGCTGGTAATATCTGCACAAGGTGGTGCCAAGCTCAGGCACATGTCAATAATGCCATATTCTACCGCCCCAGCCTGGCTGGACTGAGGGGCCGGCACAGACCCTTTGCCAGGATGTGGCACTCAGAGCTCTGTGATATCAAGTCCTCTCACCACACACTGTAGTGGTCTTTAAACACATAATTGTGTGCCTTAGGTCAGGAAGTGATGGGGAAGACCTCAGAAGGGAGTAAAGCTGGTCTCTTTGATCAAGATACAGTCGTGGGGACTGAGAGGGGTGGCACAATTGAATACCAACAGCCTTTCTGTAAGTCCAGCTTGGCTCTTGATAAAATCAGAGCTTTGGTAGTTTAGTATCTGTTAACGAGAGATAACTGAAACCAAGTGATGAGTGTTTGAAGGGCAGGGACTGTTTAATTTACGTATCGGTAATTTGCTGTAACAGTGACCCCAAACCTAGTGGCATAAAGCAACACATATTTATTCTCTTATAGTTCTGGAAGTCACAAGTCTAAAATCAAGGAGTATGTGGGGCTGGGTTCCTTCTGAAAGCCTCAGGAAGAATCTGTACCCTTGCTTTTTTCAGTTTCTAGAGGCCACCAGTCCTCTGTTCCTTGGCTCATGGGCCCTTCTTTGCATCAGTAAGACTTCTTATCCTTGTCCCATCTTCTGCTACTGACTCTGCCTCCTTTGAATAAAGGCTACATGAATATGCCAACATAATTGAGGACAGTGTCTCCGTTTTACCTAAATCACATTTGCAAAGTCCCTTTTACCATGTAAAGTAACATATTCACAAGGTCCAGGAATTAGAACAGGGACATTTTTGGGAGGGGGTTATCACTAAATTTACTACAAATTTTCTTTTTCTTAAAGTTCTAGTAAAGTGTACATAACACAAAATGTGCCATTTCCACCATTTCTAATTACAGTAAAACCTTGGTTTGCAAGCATAATTCATTCCAGAAGTATGCTTGTGACCCAAAGCACTTGTATATCAAAAGCAGAATTCCCCATACGAAATAATGGAAACTCAGATAATTCAAACCCAAAAATATTCATAGAAAAGTGATTACAATACCATAATATAATACAAAATAATAAAGAAATTACGAAATGTAAAGGAAAATAAAATTAACCTGCACTTACCTTTGAAAAGCTTCATGGCTGATGTGAGGGAGATAGGAGAGAGGAGGGTTATCACGTAGGATGATTTTCATCATCACTAACGAAATCACTGCTATCTGTTCATCTAATAGAATCTTTTTCTGCATGGGGGCTATTATATACGTTCGCATGGATGTTGACTACAGTACAATATTAATAAACTCTTGTCACATACTGTATTTAATGTAACTGGCAATAAGGCAGCAGAGGAAAGGATCTATACCTGCAGGCAGCCTGACCTAGAATGAAGCAAAGTATTCTTCCTTTTTTCTTAATGTTTATTTATTTTTGAGAGACAGAAAGACAGAGAGCAAGCAGGGGAGAGGCAGAGAGAGAGGGAGACACAGAACCCAAAGCAGGCTCCAGGCTCTGAGCTGTCATCACAGAGCCCGATGTGGGTCTTGAACCCACGAGCTGTGAGATCATGACCTGAGCCGAAGTCGTCAGCTCAACCGACTGAGCCACCCAGGCGCCCCTGAAGCAAAGTATTCTTAAGCTCACTCTTGGATGGAAAAGCAAGGGAGTGTCAATAGGTGCTTTGAAGTGACAGAAAATACACGAGTGACAGTTGTGGGCACCTTCCAACGTTCTGAAAAGTCACTAATTTCTACCAAACACCGTGGCCCCAGATTGAGCATGCAAGCCTGGGAGATGATCACCCACAATCCTGGAGGGGGAGAGAGAGAGGGAGAGAGAGAAAGAGAGAAGAACCATTGGCTCGTTGTGATCATGTGACATTCAGCATCATGTACTACTCATATTGCAAGACATCACTCATTTATCAAGTTAAAATTTATCAGAAATGTTTGTTCATCTTGCGGAATGCTCGCAGAACAAGTTACTTGCAACCCAAGGTTTTACTGTATACAGTGTTGTGGTGTTAAGTATGTTCACACTATTGTGCAGTCATGATGACCACCTCCAGACCTTCTTCATCTTCTCCGATTAAACACTAACTTCTTGACTCTCTATCCCACCCCCGCCCCCAACCCATAGCCCCTGGCAATCACCGTCCCACTTTGTCTCTGTCTCTATGAATTTGGCTACTCTAGGTACCTCATATAAGTGGAATCATACAGTACTTATCCTTTTGTGACTATCTTGCTTTCCTTAGCCTAATGTCTTCAAGGTTCATCCATGTTATAGCCTATGTCAGAAGCTTCCTCCCTTCTAAAGCTGAATCGTATTCAATTGCGTGTATACACTACATTTAAAAAACACATTCATGTGTGTGTGGACACTTGGGTTGCTTCCACCTTTTGGCTATTGTGAATAATGCTGCCGTGGAAGATAAGCATGCAAATATCTGTTCAACTCTTTTCTAGAACATTCATTACTTTGGGGTACATACCCAGAAGTGGAATTGTTGAATCCTATGGTAGTTCTCTGTTTAATTTTTTTGAGGACTGGCCATAATGGTTGCCACAGTGGAAACCCCTATTTTACATTCCTCCCGGCAATACACAAGTGTTCCAGTTTCCCCACATCCTTACCAACACCTGTCACTTTCAATATTTTTTTGTTGACAATCGCCATCCTAGTGGGTGTGAGATGGCATCTCATTGTGGTTTTAATTTGCATGTATTTAATTATTAATGTTGAGCTTCTTTTCGTATACTTATTGGCCATTTGTATATTTTCTTTGGAGAAATGTCTTTTCATTCGATCTAAAATAGCTGCCCATTTTTAGATCAGGTTCTTCATTTTTGTGTTTGTGTTTGAATTATGGGAGTTCATTATATGTTCTGGACCTCAATTCCTAATAAAGGTTTATGATTTATTTTATTTCATTGGTCTGTATGCCTGTCCTTGTGGCCGTACCACATTGTTTTGATTACTGTGACTTTGTATGTTGAAATCAGGAAATGTGAGATGTCTATTTCTATGACTTAAGAGTGATTACTGGCTAGAAACTGGGGTGTCCCTGTGATGGCAGAGGGCAAATGAATGACTAACCTTAAAAGCAAATGAAACTGTGGGGTCACTGACAGCCAAAGATCATCAGGTGTATGTCTTCTGCTTCTGCTTGAACTATGAAGATAGAGCAAGATTACCAACATTAGAAAAATGAAGCAGGGCTTTCACTCCCACCGAAATTGCCGTGTAGATTAAGACATGGCCTCTGGAAAGCACTCTTGGGTTCTGGCCTCCGTTTGTCATTTATGGCTGTCTTTAGATTCAAACAAAAGGGCGAGGAAGCAAAATATCTTCACCCAATTCAAACTCATTTTTAAATTCTATTTCTCCTCTCTGCTTTAATCCTGGCACACATTTTTAATCCTAGGCATAAATCATGATTGGGTTAGGAGGCATATAATTGAAAATAGAATAAAATGGGAAGTTTATTTCTCTGTCACGTAAGGAAATTCAGAGGTGGGTGATCCAGGGATGCTGTGAAGCCACACAAACTTTTCAGGGACCTGGCTTACTTCCAGCTTTCTATTCTGCCTTCCCTCAGTTGTAACTTTCATCCTCCTATTCCAACATGGAAACTGAATTTCCATTTACCGTGTCACATTACGTCACCCCACGTCACATCATCTTCTCATCACATTATATTTTGTCACATCACAGCATTAGGAAGGAAAAAGAACCCCAGAGCCTCCTTTTTAATGAGTCTTCCTGGTAGAGTCACACATTTCCACTTACCACTCATTGGCCAGGATCCAGTCACAAGGCCACAGCTCTTTAAAAGGGAGGCTGGGAAATGTCTTTTGACTAAGTCAATGCTGGGGAGTTATATTAGTGAGGAAAAGAAAATGGTCATTGGGAAACAAATTGAAGTCTCTGCCACAACTTTGAATATCTTCAAAATAAAAATCTGCTCTTAATTCCATGTCCCATGCTGATACTGATGCATATAAAAATAATGAAGACAATTCATCGCTGTGACAGAGCAGGACATAAGTTCTTGAGAGGCTTCACGGACTGAGCAGAGGTGGCTGTGGTGATGCTTAAGCTTATTTAAGCCAACCTTATTCGAACTCCCTTGGGGGTACCCATCGCTAACCTTGAACCGGCAGGCGGGTAGGTGATTTTTGTTTCTGGATGCTAGTGTGCCTTCATGGGCACATTGCTGTGTTGGGTCATTGTATGTGACCTCATGGCATGTGTCCCAGCAAAGGAGGGGCCAGCTGGAGCAAAATACAGCCTACTTGGCCTGCCCCTCTGGTCATCAGAATCCTGACTGCAATGGTTCCTTTAGAGTTCTCTGGGCCCAGAGATCGATCTATAGAAAAGTCTGAAGGGAATGTTTAACCTGAAGCTAAAAGATTCAAAAAATGTGTTTTAAAAATGAAAATGAATACAAAGCTTACTACAGAGTTAAATGTAAAAATACATACACCCACAGTCGTACATTATGGCTGATCTCTGTTCAGGAACAAATTATTGAACCTGTTGGTCAGATGTGGCTAAGAAAACTCCCTCAGACCCATTCCAGTCCAGTCCTCTTCTTTATTGCTCACCTATCTTTCTTCTGTCTGTCGAGTTTGTTAATTTCTTTTTGCCTTTGCTTTAGAGCGTTGCTTCTTTGATTAAGAACCTTTAAATATTAATGGCAGAGATTTTTCAGAGTTGCTGTCAGCAATGGCTTAGCTGTACTGTCTCCTCCAAAGTGATTATAAGTTATATTTTTTAGCTCCAGTGGCATACAGGTCTGTGCAATGGTGAAATTTACTGTCTTCCTCTCCTTAAAAATGAGGGCCATCATATTAACTTCTGGGGAATACTGCCTGTCTTCTGTGGGTCCCATGTACTCTGTCTTCCCTTGCTGAGTCCCTTTTTGATAATCAATGGCTCAGTTGTTACAACTTATCATGCCCATAGAATGTGTTTCTGCCTTTAAAGAGTCTATAATTTGGTTGATAAGAATGATTCTGGAATATTCTTAGAAGTGGGTCTTCCAGAGTAGATCCAAGGACATCTGGAAGCATTTTTTTTCTCAAGTTTGGGAGCCAAATGTTTCACTTTTTCGCTGTTTTAAAGTTTATTTATTTTGAGAGCAGGGGAGGGGTAGAGACAGAGGGATAGAGAGAATACCAAGCAGGCTCTGTACTCTCAGCGCAGAGCCTGAAATGGGGCTCAATTTCACAAACCATGAGATCATGACCTGAGCTGAAACCAAGAGTCAAACTCAACCGACTGAGCCACCCAGGCGTCCCTCACTTTTTCATTCTTCATTTCACTTATCATTTTTATAGATAAGTGGGCTTGGAGCAAGACTTTTCAATCAAAGGATATTGTCAGGTGCTGACTACTGGACACCATGTGTGATCAATACATGCTGACTACACTCACTTCTCCCCCAACACTGCTTTCTCTAACTGTAAAGTGAGTTAGTTACTCTAATTTATGTCCACAGTCTCAGACTATTGGCGATAATAGTGATTCAAGAGCAGTCCAGGTAGACAAAAAGAACTTACGACTGGAGTCCTGGGTTCAAGACTCAAGTCCCTTGTTTGTGAAATGTGAATGATGGTAATGTACCTCTAGTGCCCATCTCCCGCAGTTCCAGGGAGTGTCTAAGACAATAGATGTGATAGTGTTCTGCAGACTATAAAACACTATAGAAATATCAGTTGTTATTATAACCTTCATGTCAATGTTTTTCTTGTGTTTCTTGGCCCAGGTTAACAAAAAGATTTTGACCTTTACTTTTTTTTTAATAATTATTTTGCTTTAAAAAAATTTCTTGAGTTTATTTATTTATTTATTTGAGAAACAGAGAGAGAGCGGAGGAGGGGCACAGAGAAAGGGAGAGAGAGAATCCCAGGCAGGCTCCGTGCTGTCAGCGTGGAGCCCAGTGCAGGGCTCGAACTCACAAACCCTTCGATCATGACCTGAGCTGAAACCAAGAGTCTGATGCTTAACCATCTGAGCCACCCAGTGCCCCCAGTTTTGCTTTGTTTTAGTTACAAGGGACAGAAACCCAATTCAAAGTCCCTTGAGCAAAAAAGAGAGCTTATTGGCTCATCTTCCTTGGAAGATAAATCTGTCTTTGGGTATAATGAGATCCAGGCACTCAAGTAAGGTCATCGAGGCTCTTTCTCACTCTCTGTCTTGGGTTCTACTTCCCTCTGTTTGTTGACATGTTCTCTGCTTTGGGCTGAAGTTCCCTCCATGTGTCCAGGGAGGATACTATTAACATGTCCATGTAACTCAATACAAAGAGGGCTTCTTTCCCCTAGTGTCCATACATTAGTTCCAGGGAAGTATACTCAGAATGGCCCTGTTTGAGTGGCTGCGTGTAGCAGGGAAGTGGGTTTCCTTGACAGGGTGGCTTGCCTGCTGATTCTTGGGGGCCAGGAGGATGTGAGAGCAGGCTCCTATGGCTCACTAGCAAGTTAGATCATAGGAGTGGGAGAATGATGCTTCTCTAAGAGGAGTCTCACTGAGCAGAAGTGAACTCCATGTGCCTTTTGTAAAAGGTGAGATCAGGCACTTCACTGAAGAGGAAACACAAATTGTGTATAAACTTTGAAAATATACTCAATTTCGTGACTAGTTGGGGAAATTTAAAAAAAGGCAGTATGAGATACTCTTTTACACCAACTAGGTGGGAAAAAATTAAAAATTCAGATAATATAAATTTGGAAAGCATGGAGAACCATTATGTTTCTAATAAACTGGTTGCAGATAATCTTATACAACTGAATTGTAAAATAATATGCTATTATTATCAAGGTTGAACATTCATATATGCCATGGCCTAGAAATTCCACTCCTAAGTTATACCTAGAAACTCTATGCATGGTGCACCTAAGACATGTGCAAGAATAATAGTAAGCAGCTTATTCTTAGTAGCAAAAGGTTGTAAACAACTTGAATATACAGCAGCAGGAGAGTGAATCAATGAACCGTAGTGTAATCACATAATAGAATACTACACACTAGTGAAAATAAATAGCATCTAATGAGTCAACATAGGTGATGCTTAAAAACATAAAGAAGATGTGGTTTATATATACAATGGAATACTACTTGGCAGTCAGAAAGAATGAAATCCTGCCATTTGCAGCAACGTGGATGGAACTGGAGGGTATTATGCTAAGTGAAATAAGTCAGGCAGAGAAAGTCAGATATCATATGTTTTTACTCATATGTGGAACTTGAGAAACTCAACAGAAGACCATGGGGGAAGGGAAGGGGGAAGAGTAGTTACAGACAGAGAGGGAGGGAGGCAAACCATAAAAGACTCTTAAAGACAGAGAACAAACTGAGGGTTGATGGGGGTGGTGGGGGAGAGGGGAAAATGGGTGATGGGCATTGAGGAGGGCACTTGTTGGGATGAGCACTGGGTGTTGTATGTAAGTGATGAATCACGGGAATCTACCCCAAAACCAAGAGCACACTGTATATGCTGTATGTTAGCCAGCTTGACAATAAATTATATTTAAAAAATTATATATATTAAAATATTTTTAATGTTTATTTATTTTTTGAGAGAGAGAGAGAGAGACAGAGCGCAATCAGGGGAGGGTCAGAGAGAGGGAGACACAGAATCCGAAGCAGGCTCCAGGCTCTGAGCTGTCAGCACAGAGCCTGACGCAGGGCTTGAACCCACGAAATGTGAGATCACGCCCTGAGCCAAAGTCGGACGCTTAACCCCCTGAACCCCCCACGCCCCCCCCCCCAAAAAAAACCATAATATTAAGTAAGAAAGTGAGTTACAAAAGAATAACTATACTTTGGACATATTTTTATAAAGCTCAAAAGCAATAGAACCTCCATAATGTATTGTTTTGTTAAATAACAAAAGCAAGACAATCATAAACACAAATTAAAAACAGTAGTGGTTACCTCTGGGGTTGTTTGATTAGCTAAGGAATAATAATGGTACTGGTGAGTTTTTTCCCTTTAACATGGGATGGGTTTGCAGGTGTTTGTTGATTATGCTTTATAAAACACACACACACACGCATATGTGTGTGTGTGTGTTTATATATTACATATATACTTTTATATTCCAAAATATTAAGTAATAGAAGCATGGAAAAACAAAACATGTATTCCCTACACACTAGGTAAGAAGTGTTCATTTCTGTAGACGTTAATGTATATGTAACTAAAGAATGTTAGGAGTCGAAGTATAATTTGTAGGTACTTGTTATGTATTAGGACTTACTAAAAGTTTAGCTTGGTCGAGTAACTAATGGGACATTTGATAAGTTACCAAACTTTGAAAGATACAAAGAGAACCACAAAGGGGGACATGCCTTTTCCAGTGTGACCACATAGAACATTAGATTAAATGGAAAAAAAAATGGGGGACGGCTTTAAAGAGTTCATTTTGAATATTTAGAGCAACATTTCCACCTCAAAGCCATTAGACCACAGAATAGTTACCCCGGGGCAGGGATCTGGGAGGGTTTCAAAAGGTTCACTTATGGCATCAAAGGCTGTTTGCTTGCATTGGTTCCTGGAGACTTGAAGTCAGCATTACTTAATGACAACATGATTTTTAATGCCTGTGGAAATTTTTAACTCATATGGGAATAGTTTGAATTTGTATTCCTGTTAGGATTTTAGAACTGGCTTTTTACATAGCCTGGCATTTTCCTCAGAGGAATTGTGGGTTAGGCAAGGAGCAGAGAATGATCGCTAATGAAGAAAGATGATAGGAAAGAGGTGGGAAGGATGTCGGGGAGGGAGAGACAGAGCAGGAGGATGGGGTGGTGGAGTGAGCAGGATCTGGGTGAGGCTCCCACCGAGGCTGAAATCTGTCTCTGCCACACAGTGCTGTGCGACATGGGCAAGCTCCTCGCCCTCTCTGATGTTCAGCAAGCCATCTACAAAGGGTGTTACCAGTGTCCACTTCCCCGTGTTGTTGTTGGGATCATGTACTCTGCAGGCATGTGCAGCCTGACCCAGGAAGGATCAACGAAGAGATGGAGGGAAGCCAAGCTCCAGTCTAACAGTCTGCATGCTCATAATGTATAAGAGAACGTGCTTGCTACGAGGTGAGTGCTTAGTGTGAACGAACAGCTTAAGAGTGGATTTTGTAAGGGGAGGGGCTAGGGTTTTTGGCCGGTGCCAGCCCTGTGGTTGAGCTGTGGACTGTCCCCGTCTGCTTAATGGAAGTGTGTCTGGCATGCAGATGGAATGGTAATCAAGGTATGCGGACCGCGCTGCCTACCATGTTTGGTGGTTCTTTCCCAACCTTAAACGATGCCAGGTTGGCGATTAAACAGGAAGGTGAGAGAGTGTGAGTCCCTTGAGGGGGTGGGTTAAGTATAAAAGGGGTCTGTCGCAAACAATGGATGATTGGGGGAGGACCACAATCTCTGGGTACTCGTGTCTGTTTTAGGAAGCAGTGATGATGGAAGAAAGAATATCAGCTGTGGAGCCAGGCACACCTAGAGTTAAGTCCTGGTTCCTTTTTAGAGCTGTGTGACCTCAAACAAGTTACTTTACCTCTATGAAAAGTGGAGTAATACTACACTTTCTTTTGGCTGCATCCTGATCTTTGCTTTTTTTTTTTTTTTTTAATTTATATTTATTTTGGGAGAGAGAGTGTGAGTGGGGTAAGGGCAGAGAGAGAGAGAGAGAGAAAGAGAGAGAGAGAGAGAGAGAGAGAGAGAGAGGATCCAAGCAGGCTCTCCACTGTCAGCACAGACCCTGATGCGGGTCATGAACCCATGAACCGTGAGATCATGACCTGAGCCAAAATCAAGAGTTGGATGCTCAACTGACTGAGCCACCCAGTTGGCCCTGATCTTTGCTTTTTAATCTTGACTTTCGATGTTTTCCTATACGCTTGACCATTGCATTTGGCCTTCTTCACGTGAGATGAGAACCAAATCCCATAGGCTAACCCCTTCATGATAAACCCCTATAATGTCACCTGCTCCCTTATTACTGCCCACCCTAATAGAGCCCCAACGGAGGGCTTGAGCTTTCTCCCTGGAAAATTACTATTGATAAGTTTCTGTCACCTGGGCGTGTCATGATGACAGCTCCTCCTAAGCAGGACTAATGTCACCACAATTAGTAATTCCGTGCGATGACAGAGATCCTGGTTCCTCTCCACTCTGGGAATGTCCACTTGAGTGTCCTGTGTATCCTGTTCCATGAAGGGCCACCCCTTGTACATGTTTTTCCTGAATGGGGCTTCCGTCCACAATCCTTGCCTTTTCTCCAGCCCCAGAGGAGAAAGCACAGAAGCAAATCCCAAGGTTCTTTTTTAGTTCCTCCTTTAAGGGACATCAGTGAGACATTAGTCCCAGCCACTCAAATTCTTTTCCCTGAGGCTCAGCCCCGGCCTCTCTTGCTTCATCCAAGGACAGGGAACTTTCCACCCAGAAAGGGTAAGAGTCTTCATAGCCCAAATGCTACTTCCCTCCGAAAGACCCCAAATGGCTTGGTCTTCTTTACTCTTCCTACAAGGATCTTCCACCATCAAATCTATGGTGTCCTCCCTGAAGAGGTGCAGATCCATCCTGGATGCCTCTGGCATATGCTGTCCTTTGCTTTTGGCCCTTCCTTGCGAGTTGAGTCTGGAGAGGGGAGGCAAGGGCTGGAGCAAAGTTGGGGGGAACTCAGCTCACAGAGTCTGAGTGCCAGCCACCCGTGGCAGAGGATGTTGTGACTTTCGTGGTCCCATTTGCAGATCAGCTCACACAACTGGACTCAGTTCACATCTCTAATAATAACGCTCAACAAACGGAATGATGAAACCTTGTCGAGCACTAACACATGCCAGCGATTTTATGTGTTACCTCCTTTATTTATGACAAAAAACTCTCCGTGCAAACTATTATGTCCCGAATTTTTAAAAACCCACCTTAGGAGGTGCAATGGGCATACAAAAGACTGTACATATTTCATGTGTGCAACTTGATGACTTTGGAGGTAAATATACATCCATGAAACTATAACTACAATCTGTGCCACGGACACATAGTCACCACCTCCAAAGGTTTCCCACCCTCCTTATTTACTATTATTATTATTATTATTCCGTGTGATGAGAACAGGTAACATAAGGTCTACCCTACCACGTTTTAGTTATTTTTTTTAACATTCATTTATTTTTGAGACACAGGGAGAGACAGAGCATGAGCAGGGGAGGGGCAGAGAGAGAGGGAGACACAGAATCCGAAGCAGGCTCCAGGCTCCGAGCTGTCAGCCCAGAGCTCGACGCGGGGCTCGAACTCACAGACTACGAGATCATGACCTGAGCCAAGGTCGGACACTTAACCGACTGAGCCACGCAGATGCCCCATTAAGTGCATAATATAGTATTGCCAACTATAGGCTTTACCCAGTGCAATAGATCTCCAGGATATACTCATCTTGTCTACCTCAAACTTTGTACCTTTTTATTCATACCTCCCTTAGCCCCTGGAAACCACCATCCCACTCTCTGCTTGTACGAGTTGGCCTGTTTTAAGTTCCCAAATGGTTTCCTCCAGATCGCAGAGTGAAGCTCTGCATTCCTGTTCAAGGACACCTGGCTTCAAGACACAGGGTCTGCCCGAGAACCCACACTGTCTCCTGTTTCACAAAACACACAGATTCTCCCACTTGGATGTCGTCCCAGAACAAAACCTCAGGAGGGAGTCAGAAAGGATTTTACAGATGAGGAAGAGGGTGCTCCTTGGCCAGGAAGCTGAGCCTTTTGATTTCATGTTCAGCTACCGAGCGTCACCTGGAGAGAAAGGGGGAAGACGCTTTCCTGTGTTTCCCTACAAGCAGCATAGGATCATGAGGGAACTTGTAAATAGGCAGAGTTTTAGGTGAACAAATGGAAAAAATGGACTCCTAACAGTTGTCCATGAGGACTGCCACCACCCATCGATCTACACTGAGGAGGTAACAGAGAGACTGGCCATGGCCAGTGATGGCAGGAAGTTGGCCAACCGGCTCTAAGCAACTGTGACTCTTGGATTTCCAGAACTCCTTGCTTCTCTTCATGGAATGATGGCTCATCCTACACTAAAGCCAAGATCCAGCATAAGTGCCTCAGAGTTCCAAGTGCCTTACCATGGCAGGCTTAGAGGATGGAGACCATAAATGATTCAATTACTGCTCTCTGGTGTGAATCACCCAAGAATTCCAAGTGATTTGCCTCTTGATTTTCTGCCTTTGGCAACAGCCCATCTACTCTGTGGGATGTGATTTTGACTGCAGTCCCTGTCACAGGGAACCTACTATTTTGTTGAAAAGACCCACCAATTTCGTAAACTTGAAAAATACTGCCCTGGAATACACCATTCCAGACCCCCTTATGGCCTAAAGCAAAATGGATAGCACCATTAACTGCTAATATTTTCCTTAAATCTACCCCCTTTCTCAGCTCATGTGCCTACAACTCAATGCTTCCGGATCAGGCGTGTGTTTTTCAAATGAAATTGCGGTTAATGGTACAAAATATTTACATTTATGCCCCACACCCAAAGAGCCACAAAACTTTATTTCTCCTTTTGTGGTTTCAATATTTAATTAGTGATGAAGCACCAGAAACCTGTGGGGAAAACACACCCCATTATTTTTTAAGTGATAGTCTATTTACAGCCCATTTTCACCTGCTGCCTTTGTCTCCACCTGTCTCAGCCGTGTGCAGATTCGTCTCAGCTGTCCCCTCAGGAATACAGCTGTGTCATCGCATACTGTGGCATCCTAATATTTCATACTAAGCTTTAAACCAATTAGGAATGACTACTGACTATGCTGACTCATGGGGAGAGAAGGGGGATAATGTGTCCTTCAGGTAATGAACTTCTTTGGGGACTTAGCACATATTTCATTTTTTAGCACTGGCAGTTTTCCCTTGTCACATTTCTGTGCCTATGGCTTCGTTTTGCTTCATTGTGCCAGGAGGATTATGCAGGGATTCATATTTGCCAAGTGGCCGAGCTTGTATTAATAATGGCAGGAAATGGACCGACCCATGGTGGGATTAGTGGGCCAACCTCTGAGGCTTCAGGGATGTCCTGGAGGGGACAGAGAAGGGTCAGGGGAGGTGGGACCCACTTAAAGGGGACAGCCTCAACTGAGCTCCAGCTGATTGTGCTTTGTGCAAACCAGAACTTCTCGTTTTATGAAATGAACCCCAAACCCAAATTTTTTTTTTAAGGTGAAATTTTCCTATTTCAAAGTGGAGGCACTATACATATGAAGCAGCCACCCTCTGGGTGACAGCTACAGCTGGCTTGCAGGTGTCGGTTGCAACCTCTGGCCTAAACAAATCTACCAATCTTTTTCTTGTTTAAGCCCCCAAGGGTAGATAGGTGCATTACGGCATGCATACACTCTCTTTATGTTTTCCTATAACTTTGCCACTTGCGCATCCTAGTCCAGTGGAGGTCTTGGTTCCCGATTCCCTGTCTGGTCCATGTGGTGAAAGCCTAAGGCAGAGGGCTGGCCAGCTGGGGACATGCTGGATCAGAACCCTAGTGGCAACTAGAAGTGTCCAAATACAAATGACGTGGGATGGGGGCACCTGGGTGGCTCGGTTGGTTGACCATCCAACGTGGGCTCAGGTCATGATCTCGCAGTTCGTGAGTTTGAGCCCCACATCGGGCTCACTTCTGTCAGTATAGGGCCTGCTTCAGATCCTCTGTTCCCCCCGTCTCTCTGCCCCTCCCCTGCTCGCGCTCTTTCCCTCTCTTAAAAATAAACATTAAAAAAAAACAGAACAAAACCAAAAATGGTGTGGGATGAATCTGACTCTCTTTGATTAGACAGAAGGATCCCAGGTGATGGTGGATTTGAGGCAATTGTGGTGTTTATGTAGGGGGGCCCACAGTAGATTTCTACAGAGCAGGTCCCTGTAACCCACGTCAGAAGAGTCGCAAGTCCCAGGCAGCTTGGCTGTATCCCCTTCAAGGAGGATACTTGTCTCGCGGGCTTGCACATGCTGCAGCCCATTTGAGCCACGCAGCAGCATGATACACTTGTCGTGGCCATTTTGCCAAAGATGCAATCGAAAGTCTAAGAATTCTTGCAGTAAAGGGTTGAGCTGGGGACCTGAACTAGGATCGTTTCATAGAAAGGCAAGTAAGTGGTCTACCTCCCCGGACTCAGGGTGTTGCATCCTTGCCTCCTTGCCCAGGAATATAGCCTGACAAATGGCAGACTACACCATGGCTTTCACCTCTTTTCTATGACCCCAAATTTTCTAATGGGAATTTGACCTCATATTTGCACAGATGCCCACATACGAAGAGCTTTAGCTTCTCGGTTGGCATAAAAAAGTGACCCCAGGAGAAGTTCACCCCCACCCCCAAGTAACCTGTGTTGGTATAGGATGTTAATAGAAACCTTCTTCACCCTGCCTGGGCTGCTCCTGAGTCATTAAGAGCCCCGAGTTTGAACAGGGCAGGTCCTAATTCTTCCATGGAGATTTCTTTGCTCCACTAAGTTCAATCCATGTTGGAGCTATTAAAATGTCTTCTTAGTGCTTAGCCTGAAATTACCTCCTTTTACAAATTTTCCCGTTACATAGATCTATAGCCCTTTGGAAAATGAATTGCTTTTCATGGTGGTGGTGGAATGTCTGTGATTTTAACATCATTATACAATGTGTCTTGATTAATCAATGTTTGAGAGCTATCCAGCTCTAAGCTAGACTACAAGTAAATAAAAATGGACTTTGTGCCTAACTCCTGCCTCCATAAAAATCCAATGAAATGTAGATGATGGGAGCACGGAGCAGTGCCTGAGCCTAAGAACCTGGAAGGTTTAAGCAAGGTACTTAATATTCATCTGGTATTCATTGCAATAACATCAATCTTACCAAATTCTCTTGATATTAATGTAGATGCTCTGCATTTAATATATACTTCCATTGGAATTTCATTGTAATTGAGCACTAAATGATGTCCACTTATGGTAAAGTGGTTCCAGAATTTTTTGTAATAAATGGATTTTAGTAGAATCCCAGATTCTGCACTGAGTCTATATTAGACTCTTTATGCTCTAATTGTCATTGACTGTCTTTACTGTATTATTTCCAGACAGTTCATAATTTCCTGTACTGAACAAATGATGATTTGTGAGTGAAGCAAGACACTGACTCGGGTTATGTGGTGCCATTGATTTTTTTTAATTGCTCATTTGGAAAATATCCTTTAAAATCATTCGAATCATCTCTGTTGGTGTCATTATTAATGGCCGTAAGGGAGCTCATAAAGGGAGTGATTTGTATAGTAACAATCATGGCAAAAATTTATTGAGTGCTTACTATATGCTAGACACCCTGTAAAGGTAAATGCTTTACATCCATGATCTTGTTGGAACCCCACAACTATCCCACAGGTCTGATTAACATTCGTATTTTAATCAAGTGGACATCAGAGGGTAAGGACTTTATCTGGGGTCATAGGGCTAGAAAGGGGCAGGGTAGAGGTTGAATTCATTTCTGCCTGGCTTTGGGCCTCAAAGTCTGTGCTGTTTGCTACCATACCAGGTGGATTGTGGAGTGGAATCCTTGTAAGTAGATGGAACAAACCATGGGTTCCCGGACCCGTGCGAAATTCTTGTGCTTTTTTGGTCATAGGCAGCTAGACTTATTAAGACAACTTGAAAACTACCTCCATGATTAAGGTATTGTTTTTCTCCCTCCTTACTCTCAGAGATGGTGGGGAGCTGGTGTTTTGGGGGAATATCCTGATAATTAGGAACACAATGATTCCATGAAGTGAATAACCAGTACAGCAAATGGTACTACGGTATTTGTTTGCACGGAACCAGCTTTACCACACATTCAGTAGTGACTAGTTAATCTCAGGGTTAGAGCGTGTGGTTGTTAAGAGCTAAGGCTAAAACCTCTGTATGGTTCATAACCCCTATGCTGTTCATGCTGACTCAGAATTCTGGGAACCTCCACAGGAAGGGGCTGTCCCAGCTCTGACCCTAACCAGCCAATGGCCTTGGTGAGGCATCTTGACCTCTCATCTACAAAATGAAGGGATTGGGTTGAATTCAAAACTTTCAAATGTATTTAGATTTTGGCATCATCTTCCTTCAAAAGAAATAGTATGCAGAAATCTGTTACGTAAACCGATAAAAGTGGAGCATCTCTGATGGAAGTAAGCACTACCCCCTCCCCATTTTAGTTTGTAAAC